GACATTCCCATCCCGTCGAAAGGTGTTCAACTCTCCCTCTTCGCAGACGACACTGCCATCTACTGCAAAGGTGTCTCACTACCCTTCATACGGAACAAGATCCAAAAGTCAGTTGATGACCTAGGAGCTTGGTTCAAAAAATGGCGCATCGATGTGAACCCGGAGAAGAGCTCCGTCGTTCACTTCGATTATAAACGACGCCGTCTCAAAAACACTCCACCAATACGTATGCTAGGGACCCCTGTCCCCTGGCATACGTCCGCCAAATATTTAGGTGTCACTCTAGACACAGGGCTCACTTTCAAGCCCCACGTCAAAAGAGTAACCCGTCACGCACGATTTTATCTGAGTAGGCTCAACAGTATGTTGGGCCGACACAGTAAAATGTCCCTTCGAAACAAGCGTACCCTTTACAAGGTCAGTATACGACCAGTCATGTCCTACGCGGGCCCCGTCTTTGCCCACGCAAACCCTAATATTTTAAATGAACTCCAAATAGTTCAGAACCTCTTCTGTCGTCGAGCTGCGAACGCACCTTGGTACGTCCGTAATGCCGACCTTCATCGGGACTTAGAGCTCCCAACAATTCAACAATTTTTTAAAAAACTCTCTGAGAACTTCTTCAAAGCCTCAGAGTCGCACCCAAACCATTTAATTCGTGAGGCAGCTTCTTATGCAGCCCCACCCCCCTCTCGCTATCGTGTCCGCAAGCCGAGAAACTCTCTCTCGGACCCGCCTAATAAACTGTCAAACGACCTGAACTGTCTCCTGGCGGCTCAGGCCAACTCTAATTAAATTAAATTATTGTAATAACTAACATTAATTTGCCTTCGTAGGCACTCCCTCAGCGGCACTTAGCCGCCTGCGCCCTCTTTTCCCAAAAGAGGGTCGCTCATGATAAGGCACAATACAGCTTGATCAGCCGGCTGCCTGTCCCCAAAGGCGGTTTTTAGAGGGTATCACTTAGGGTCCCCGGTAGGACAGTGAGCCCCTCATAACCACGATAGACCGGCTATCGTGGTATGCGTAATGCATTTTCCGCCTCCCTACGTATAGGGTAGCCCTTTAATTGCTTCGGGCGCAAAAAAAATAGTCAATTTCTGTATACAGGCATTTTAAGAAATAAGAGTACGAAGTAAAGAATAGCATGCCACTTTCCGTGGGTAAGGTGTACAATTCAGTCGCCTGAATTACGGGGTGGGGGGAGGGGGAGGAGTTGGCAGAGTCACCCACTACTTCCCCTTCCTGCCGGACGTGCTTAGTTTTTTTTTAATAAATTTTTAAAAATCTCATTCTGAGGTTATGTTTCGTAATTTTTATGACAATTTTAACCTGATTTATGGGGAGAGAAAGTTGGGGGACGGAAACCCCATGCCACTTAACGTGGTGCGGTCGAGGGAAGCCCGGTCGACGGAGCCCCGCTTCGCGAGTGCTCTTACTTCTGAGTGATTTATAAAAAAGTAACCACGAAGAGGATGACGAGATCTATTCGCTCATTTCGCTCGCTCACTCGACCCCGTCATCCCCTTCTAACCTAACCTGTCCGAGTCGGAGTGCCCACGTACCAGGCTCGCTTCGCTCGCTATTGCACTTAATATAACACCAAAATATTAACTTTTATAACTACTTTAATTTATAAATATAATTTATGACTGTCACCATTTGTAAGAAAGGATCTTTGCGATATTTAGCAGTATTCCGCCGCCACAAATATACCACTATTCATCAAAATTCTGAAACTCGGAAGCAACGGCATGACGTAAAGCTGTCAACAAAATGGCCAGCCTAGCGATTAATTTTACACATTTTTAAATCGATTCGAATCAAAATTGGATGAATCGATTCACAAAAAATCGAAATTTTAAAGATCGATTTCGCAAAAATCGGTCTTTTTTTGATTTGCGTTAAAAGTTTATATTTACAATATCATAAGATACAATAAAGTACAACTAACATTGAATAATTGAATTGATAAACTATCATTATCTACGAGTTGGGGTACATTCAACTAATTGTAAATAATTTTGTAGTTCTTAATAAAACAGAAAAACATTCGATCTCGATTCTCTAGGGTGAAATATCGATTCTATAGGTCGATTCAGTACTATATATCAATATGACATTGACAGATGTAACGTCAAACGTGAGAATATTTAATTAGTAGGTCATTAACAAATATTTTTAAAAAATAATTAAAAATATTTCGACGCTGCTCCGGCAGCAAAAATCGCATGAGGGTGCTTCAGTAAAACCCCTTTGACACCCTCCCACAGTGACAGAATCCTCAAATTCAGGACCTAATTGTAAACCCAACCCCTTTCCGTTCTTTAATTGATTTTTATATTCCGAAAAAGTTCCGTTCTACGTTACGATCAGTTTTGTGAGTAATAAGGGGTCTCATATCCGTAGGTGACTTGTGACACTGTGTGACACGTGACATTCATTTTTTATTTATTATGGGTTATTAAAATTATTTAAAACTGAAAAGATAACATAATAAAACATTAAAAACAGTGTTAGCTGTAATGTCTTTCTTTTATTGTAAAGTGATAATTATTAAATTAAATTATAAATAAAAATTGAATACACAGATCTTTTTGAGATTAATTACTTCATTAATAAAAATACTCATTAAAAACAAGTTAAGTTTGGCACATCATAATGTTAGATTCATTACAAGATGAAAAAGCGTCCAGCTATAAGCTGTAAATAACATTTCCAAAACCTTCCAGAATGGCGTTAGCGTAGATATAGGTATGGTATAAATGCAGCATTTCTTATGGATTGATGTGTGCCGAGTTAAAAAATTTAATATTTTTGGTGACTAAAGTAGTTTAGTTAAGTATACAAAACTTCAACTTTTCACGTAGTTTTTTTTAAATATAACCTAAAATAACATAGTAAATAATAAATATTTTTTTAATGTGCACTTGTTCACTTTTTAAATATAAAAATATTTTTGAAATTTACACTGCTGCTAATTATATATATAGTAGCGCCACCTTAATTTAACGCATTTCGATGGACACTTTTTCATATACAGAGATAGTCCTCCTTACCTCTACCCTCCATAGTCACAGAGTACCTTTTTATGGCACAGACTAAGTAAGTTTGAGCCCGTGGGCTGGCGTGTTGCAAACGGCCAGGTCCCAGTGTTTTTTTTAGTGCGTATTTTGGTACATATCATTTCAATGGCCAGTTACAGATTTTTGTTGTTAGGCTGATTAGTGATCTATAATTCCCTACTTTTACTATGAGAATATTTTAGTATAAGCCCAGACCAATAAAGAAAGAAAGTGCTGCGTACATTTCAAGTGACTCAAAAACCATCCTCAACTTATCGTAAGAACACGTACTACACATCTAAGATCATTTGAAACGGACAGTATGGTCACATGAGTAAAGAAACCGACCAGAGGGGAAGCTATATACAAACGGCTCGCTGCAACTATACCCTATACATAGCGCAGCGATGTGTGTGTAAGCTCTCACCGGCAGTTTCACCGACGCTCCGTCGGGTACAAACCGGTTTGCGCTGGCCCTGTCGGGGTATGAACGAAAGGGCTGTTGGTTGCGCGCATTAAAATAAATGGAAGAACAATATTTCGTGATTTTATAGATCTATTATTTTTTTTTTAATTTATTTTACTGTTGTAGAGTAAAGTTTAGAGATTTATTTTTTATTTAGAGACAGTTAGTTGTACAGTATGTATAAAAATTCAAGAAAAAATAATACAATTCCAGACAGTGGTGGAGGTGGTGTTGGTGGTAGTGATTTCGGTGGTGGTGTTGGTGGTGGTCCATTCAGAAAGATTCCATAAAACATAATACTATGAAAATTAGCAAAATCTACAATTTTTCCAAAGTTCTCTTAAAGTTTCTATTTAAGTAGGTACAATAAATAGACATGTTGTTATATTAATTTAAGTTACAATGAAATCACATGTTATTTTATCCTACACAATATTGATATTTTTTCCTCAAAAATTTCACATTCATCAGGTGACATCGCTATTAAAATAGGTATTATATATTTTCGACGTTGTTAGGAAGCTTCCCCTCTAGTTCTTACTCCTTGCTTTGTGGTATAGTGTTAGGCGTACATGTGTGCGTCCAGTAATAAACTTTTACGGGTTGATAAAGAAAGAAATAATAAAGATGTGTGCGTCATTTGAACATGGTTTTGAAACTATTTGAAAAGTATTTCAACGCAGCTCTTGGTGTCTTGTTTTGATGGTCTGATGTTATATATTATAAATAAATATCTACTCAGCCTCTTCAAACTAGCTTAGATCTATAAAAATAATGTTGAATACTTTTAAAACTTGTATAAAGAATTAATAAAATAAAATATTCATATTAAAAATTAATAAATACAAACAAAATAAGTAATTACAACATAATTTAAAACTCGTATAAAGAACGACTTATTTAAACATTTAAAACTCGTATAAAGAACGACTTGGTTTACAATCTGCATACAACTCGAGAGTTGATACTAACAAAATCAGTCAAGTCCATTAATATTTAGAAAAAAAACTATAAATCAGCATGTCGTATTTTTTTACATACAATGAAATTAACATGAACTAATTATTTAGCTGCCTCACTATCTCATTAATAGATTAAAATATATGATTTTGGTTTTTCAAATTTATTTTTATCACTTTTCAGTTCAATCCCGAAGTGTAAAATACGAGGCTTTTACCTTTAATTTTTTTCTAAAAACAAATGCCAAAGTTTGGTAAAGTTAAGATAAAGTCTGTAATATTTTTGTCGACATTTTCGTACGACTAAAGGCACTTCTTTATTCAACAAACAGGACTCTCTATATTTACAGATAATGTTACTACATAACGAACTTTCAAATATACTGATAACAATATAAAAAAGTTTTAACTTTTAATCTTTAAAATACAGAAAACTTAATATTTGTATTTATGAAACAATTTATTTACTAGTTCCTGTTTTTTTTTTTTGTAAACTTTCTTACTCTACTGTTACGCCTTTTCTGCTTTCTCTTCATGAACATCTTCAAACTTCGCGCCCATTCTTTTCAGGGCAATGACGGCGGCAACTGCCTTTGCCCATCGTTTCTTGATAACGTATCTCTTCAGCTTAGTCTTGGTAACATGAAGCTCGGTACACAGAGCTGATTGTATAAGCCACGGGTGCGTTAGTGTAGCTGAAGCGGAGAGTCGCTCACTATGAAAAGAATATTTATAAAAAATAGCAATAAAATATTTTATTAAACTATTTAAAATACGTGCAGGAATTGTTGGAAGTGATGTTGCGATTGGTAGAATAAGTGATATTTTTATTTTTTTAATATACTGCGTTTTTTTTCTTCATATTTTCGCATTGTCATCCGAGTTAGAGCTATATTAAAAATTTCAAGTTTCCAGCTCATCGGGCAGTTTGTTTAAAATCAATTACTAAGCTTCACCCGGAACGACAGACCAGCAGAGAGACAGACAGACAGACATATAGGAAAGTGACTTAATAATAACGTGGTAAAATAGAGAAAACAATTTTAGAAAAACTAAAGCATTCAGTACTGTAAAACCGAAAATAGCAGTTGTTAAATTAAGATAAAAAGCTACAGACAATATTTTTTTTGAAGGTAAATAGATATATGTGTAGTGATATTATTTATTTTTAATGAATTTGTGTTACTTTGAAGTACCTAAGTCATATAAAAATTAGGTACCTGGAAAATTTACAATAACTTGACATTGGGCGATTAAGATGTACATTTAAGAGGAGAAAAAAGACGATAATCGTTTGAAAACCTAATTCTTTTTTACTTCATCAACCCTAATGGCTACTGCTGGAGTAAAAAATTTGGTTACGCCACCATTCATCCAAAATAATGAAATATTTCCAGAATTTTCCTAAGTGGTCCCACCGACACTTACGGTGGTGTGATTAATTGGCAAAAATACAGATTATAAAAAAATTTCAATGGAAATGTATAGACTAAAATATTAAAAGACGTCAATGAAACAATTTATTTTATAAAGCCTTATATTTTTAAACAACATATTTATCGTAAAACAATAAAATATATGTATTACATTACACATAAGTACGGAAAAAGGAACAAAATTTAAATACGCGGGATAGGATCGGTAAACGTGAGGCGTTCACGAAATATTACATGTTATTTATATTTACAAGTATAAAATTAATCTATTGTCAATGTCATTTAAACAATTTTGAAATTGCATCTCAGTCTTGTCTTGATTTTCGATCGCATGTCACACAGAGCTTTGTGTTCGGAGACTAGATTCGTATAACGTTGTCATTTCATTGTCATTTCTACAAAAATAAAAAAATAAAACTTACTATCAAAACAATCTCATTTCCTCACTTTGGTAACACGCATACCATTTATTCAGAAAGATAAACTCTGTATTGGTTGTAATACCTTTTGCTAGGTGAGATGGAAACATGCAATAAGAGCTCCTAAGCGGATTGTATCGAATCCTGTGATAGTGTCCTGTAATTAATCTCCGTTTTTAACATTTTACCTCAGAAAAATTATGTGTATGTATTTCTTTTTATAAATCTAAATGTCATTACTATGTCATATGATTCTCCAAGAATAGAAATGAATATATTTTCTAATGTTTATGAATTATAGTTTCGTATTTAATCCAAAATTAAATTTGGAATGGAACTCTTATTGATTTAACGTAACAAGCATGAGACTGCAATTATTATAACTAGAGATTTTATGAATAAATTGAGATCTAATATAATTTTATTATTTTTGCTGTCGTTTTTTTTTTAAATTTTACTGGTTTATACTCTGCATCGAAATATTCAATAATTAATTATAAACTATTTCGTAGTAAACCTTTCTGAACAACACAATGTCATGGCACTTATGTTCTTGTTTACAAAACATACGGAATCGTACACATTTTTATACAAATAGTTTACACTAGTCATTTCTTCCTTTGCTTCTTCTCATCAGATGTTTGTCTTTGAAAGAAAGCGTGAAGACTTGACATTGAATTTTGGGCTAGTTGATTTGATGGTGACCATTCCAGTGATATCGATTGATGCCTTCCACAATTTGAAGTGCCGCCTGCAGTTCTTTCTCCTTCAACTTCTGTATCCGCCCATTTTCCAAGAAGATGCAATAGACGGTCTTTCGTCCTGTGAGCGTTATTTTCGTCTCCTCTTTTATAAGGAACTTGTCTTTCGATTGCAGAGCCGTTAACTAATTTTCCAATCATCTCCCGTCTTTTGTCAAACTCTTCGAAGAACGTGCTGTGTCGGTCTTTTGGTTGGTCTGGTACATCTCGGCTCATATTCGTTAGTCTTTTTGACCTGGGCGATTTAGCCCAGGGCATTTTGCTAGTCATCGGTTTCTCCTGCTCCTTCTCTGTGAGGAATGCTGAACTTATTTTATTTGTTGATTTTGAAGTGAAAACTTTTCTTTCTGCGTTCGTCGCGTCCCCATTTATCGTGGTTTTAGTGATCGGTGTTCTTGATTCGGTTTTAAATCCATTCCGAAGTTTCTTTTCCTCCTTCGACATGTTTTTTGTATCTGTAATGTTCTTATCGAATTCTTTGAAGCAATTATTGTTTACTAGATCCGTACTCATTGTGGACAACATGAAAAGATGATCTGAAAGTTTCTTGATTTCTTCAGCTAAATTTTTTCTGACGAGTACGTCCTGCTTTTTGTGTAAGAAACAGCTGCTGTCTGATGCTCTTCTTTCCACGGGGTTATATCTTTGTGATAATGGCGTTGGATCTCTTAGAGGAGGTGGTTCGAGATCGTCCTCATCAAAGATTATATCTGGTGAACTGCTAAGTGAACTTCTGGGGGACGGTGAACAGCCACCCATAGATGATCTTTCGTAATTTCCATTAAATAAATATATGATCTCATGCGCCTGATTGTCGAAAACGTATGGAGAATTCGGATGTTCACTCCATCGCTCGACGAAAAGGCGTAGGTTGTCTTTTGCCACGTCGAGTTCTTGTTTCGGCGACAGTTGGGGTCTGGGTTTGTCTCTCTTCACTTGAGTCCGTTTGACGAGCCAACGGTGGCGCAAGCACTCCGTGGCGCTCGGTCTTGACCTGCGACAAAGACCCTTGTTACTATGACCCAACACCTTATGAGTGCAATAGCGGAAAGTAGGTTTATTGGATTGTGAGTGCAGTTTGTGGTCTAGTGTGGTATGAGTCGAGGAGGATTTTTAACATTTCCATAAACATTCAAAACTATCATTACACTAAAACTACATCTAAATATGAATTAAAGTGGTTACGGCATTTATAGGTTCTACATATTTCTACTTATGTTAAAAGGTAATAAATACAATGTCTACGAGTATCGGTTAGTGACGGGACTGCTAAGTGTTGGATGGAAAAAAAATAAACACCAGTAACAAAGGGTCTTTATCGAGGCTGACACATAATGCAGCTTTTATGGTTATTAAGAAAAAGATTGAAACTTTGAAACCCAATTTCAATACTTCAGGCTTCGATTCAGTTCATTTGAATTGATAAAGCCTATTTCATGTTTCAAATTGATTTGTGAAGTGATTTTAAAAAGCAAAGTTCCGAAAAGGTGTAAACTACAGTAAAAACTAAAATAAAACTAATTGGTAGGGGCTTCACACAAAAATCACACCAATAAACCCTATACTTAAATCAGACCATATACAGATGCCATTTTGATTAACTTGTTTAGTATGAGAAAAAAAAACACAATTTTCTTAAGCTTTGAGTAAAAGATTCTGTTTAAATTTATATAGAATTTTAAGCATTTTTATTTAATATCACTATAAGATAAAATCGCAGAAATATTAAGAGAATACACGGGGTTATTTTGCAAAATAGCAATTATTGCAATAATCGGCCAAATTAGAGGAGATGGTTCAAAAATTCAGAATAAGTAATATAGGCAAATGAAGAAGAAAAATTAATTTGAAAAATCTAAAACATTCTGTCCTTTTACCTTTTAAATTTAAAATGCGTGCATTACATTCGTAATCGTCGATCGGAAGGCAAAAACGTTGTTGCCCATAAATCGCATCCAATTTGGGATAATTTGAAATAAAAGTAGAAACCTTAATTACTCGTATTTTTAAAAACAGTAATAACGGTATGCCAATATTTATATATTTACTACTGCTACTAATTATCTACTTAAGTTTAAATTTTGGCTACTCTTTGAAAAATAACCCTGAATTTGATTGCATTAAAAATACATGAACATCTTTGTTGTAAGACGGAGAATAGATTTTTTTCAAAATGGCGCCCACACTGGTCTTTCTACATAAAACCTTATATACTCACTCTTTGTCCTTCACAAGCAGTTTCTGAATGAAGTCCTTGGCGTCATCAGATATTTCGTTAAAGGCTTCATCATCAAAATCGTATTTTGCAACTGTTACGTTCGCCATGGTTTCTATATCCGTCTCGCCCATGAAAGGTGACAGTCCTGACAAACTGAAAAGACAATGCACGATTACTGGATAACACTGCAAATATTTTTCGCAAACAATGTTTTCCAGGTCAGTGTAAGGACCATGCTCTTACAGAATACTAGCGCGAAAAAGTAGAATAATGCTGCCATATTTCATATAGCGAGTGATACTTTTTTATAGTAAACGAGGCATTCAATCTTAGTTCTAACGGATTTTATACTATAACTGTATTTTTTTTGACCGCCCCGTTGGTCTGGTGGTGTAGTAGTGTGACTGCTGATCATGAGGTTCTGGGTTCGAATCCCGGATTGGGCCAAAGAATCAATTATTGAGTTTAACCGTCAAAAAATTCTCAGTGACTGCCCAGAGTCAGTAAGTTGTCGGTGTCTCACCCCCGTGCCTCAGAAAGCACGTAAAGCCGTTGGTCCTGCGCCTGATTTCTCTCCGGTCGTGTCGGTTTACCGTCCCATTGGATTATGAGAGTGAGGGAATAGAGAGTGCACCTGTGCTTGCGCATACACTTAGGCACTATAATCCTGTCCGGCGCCGATAGCTAACCTCCGTTGACGCAGGCCGCCGTGACCGAATTTCGGTCTGGAGGACATTATTATTTTGATTTTTAATCGACGATAGTTGTTGATGTCAATGGACCACACCATCCACTTACCATCAGGTGAACTGTGTGATAGTTTGTCACCCTTCTTAAAAAATACGTAATACGTAGAAAAAAAAGTAATGCGAGAACAATCCAAAGCGTTGCCCCATGTCATTGATATATTTTTTTTCTTTACAATTTTCTTAACTGTTAAAAACTTGATAAGTCAGCACGAAAAAGGCCAATTAACTAATTTAATATTTTCAGTACTTGGGACCCGGCGAAAACATTGAATTTTTAATCGATGATGCCGCAGGTAATATATCGAACCGGTCTGTGCCAGCATCAGAGTTTGATAGGTTGTTTTAATATTAATAAACTTTCATATAAAAATATTTACAAATTTTACTTACAGCACGTAACATATTACGCCTATTGACCACATGTCGGTCCCGTACCCGATCTGGTCGAAGTTAACCACTTCGGGCGCCACGAACTCGGGTGTTCCAAATAGCACTTGTAGTTTCTTCTCAGGGTCGTAGAACCGTGCTAATCCAAAATCGATGATTTTTATTCTGTTACCCGATTTTGTAAGACATAAGATGTTTTCTGGCTGAAATTAAATGAAAATTATGTTAGATTAACGGTTCAGCTGGTATAAAATACCTAAGCGGTGGGCTGCGGCGCCTCGAGCCTAGACATGTGTCAATTCATTTCTCGTGACCGAAACATTCTAGTACATTTCGTCACACGAACCGGTACATTCGGATCGATCATTCAAATGGATCATTTCGGTCTCCAGTACTCCGTAAATCTGTGAGTCGAGCCTCGATTTCAAATCCCGCATGGAACGACTGTCTGTCCAGATACAGGAAATATTCCAAATGTATAAAGATTAGAGCCTTCGGAAGAATAAAATTAATGTCAAACATTAATTATAAATTATTAACCAAGGTATATTGTGTTATACTTTTATTATGCTCAGCTCGGCTGCTCAGTACATGGGATTACTATTAATAACATTAGTTACGCGGATGACATGATTCTTCTCAGCCCCTCGATAAGTGCTCTTAGGAAACTGCTCACTATTTGTGAGCGATATGCAGTAGCGCACAGTCTTAGGTTTAAAGACGGGAAGGGAAGAAAATATACTTGTACATTTCGAAGTTCAAATTAATGTGAACTCTGCTAAAACAGGTTACTTGATTTAAGTATCTGGGTATAAATAGCTGGGATATAAGTATTGGGTCAATGAATCACTGAGCGATGACTTAGATTTAGGAAGAGGACGAAAGGCGCCGGATGTTAGGTGCAACATGCTGACCCACAGGTTCGCTCGATGCACTCGCACTTTACTTCAGTAAATATTACACTTTTTAAGTTATACTGCCAATCATTTTATACCTGCAAAATGTGGGTCAACTACACGCAAAAGGCATACAACACCCTTAGATTACAGTATAACAACACTTTCAAGGCACTGTTGGGGCTGCCTCGCTTTTATAGCGCATCGGGGATGTTCGCCGAAGCACGCACGGATGGTTTTCACGCAATTACACTTAAGTGGATAGCATCCCTGATGACGCTAATACGGAGTACAGCACTAATAGTCTTCCGGAAACTGTTGTAAATTACTTAGACAGTATTCATGTAAAACACTGGATGGAGACAGTTTTGCCAGTGATAAATCATTACTAACCGTAGCTTTTTAAGATTTAGTTACTAACACATGTATGGAATTGATTCTAAAATAAAAAGTTATTATTATTATTACTAACTCACTCGGAGTTATTTTGTAAAGATGGACATTTAGATTTTGTTTTGAAAAATTGTCTGACAAATAGATTTTGATGAAGATTTTGTTTTGATAAAGTCTGCTCAAGCGTGGCGATTTTAACAGAAATGCCTATTTCAATTAGTAAGAGCTTACAGTATCTGTAGAACACTAATGATATTTTTATCTTTTGGTTTTGGAATGTTAATAATATAAAAGTAAAAAATCATTTTCATTTGACCCTTACTGACAAATTATAAAGTTTATTACAGATTATAGAAATAAAAATGTGCGCAATAGAACAAACAATAATGGCGGCGTGCAATCATAAAACTCCCGCGCATGTTTTTCCGGTGTTTGATATACGGTTTGGAGCCGTACCAAGATGTAAACGCGGGAGATCTCAACGACATTGTAATTTTGATTAGATGAAATTTATAGCCTGGCTTGCTTATGCAATCAAAGCATGTAGATTGTTGAAAAATTTACAGTGTATTAAGATAGTATTTTTGTATTCATCTCGGTTTTAATTAATTTAGCGATGTTCATTCCTACCTAAATCTTATAACGTGTGAATTATCAGAGTTCGCTACCTAACCAGCTAGGTTTAAGAGTCGATTTTTTCTTCTGTGGCGTTTTGTATGTTAGGGATTACTTATCTGTAACAGGAGCGAATGATTTTATTTTAAAGATTTTATTACGCACACACCACTGTGTGATTTTTTACCGCTAGGCGAAATAGTATTATAAATAATAGTAGAAAATATTACATCTGATGGTCCATCAGATAATGGCAATGTTCTATGAAATTGGTAAATTGCAAGACTCAGCTATGGCACGATATTGCTCAAAAACTATTTACATGCTGACTGAAATGTTGCTGAATTTCGTAAGACTTTAGTATAAAAATGCCAAAAAACATTAAAACGTTTTTAAATGTGGTAGAGTCGCTTTGCCGCTCTCACAAAATATCAGTGTGCAACTGCAACCTAATACTGTTTTGTTTCGTATGGTGAGTGTAAAGAACCTGAGACCCTGTTTTACGGTTAAGGGTGTATTCCACCATCATACTCAATCTGTATTTCGATTCGTAATTTAAGATAGATGGTAACACTAAAGAGCGACATAACGGACCTAAAAGCAGGGTCTCCATAAAAGCAACTTTATGGTAAACGAAATAAGATTACATAAATCGAGTTGGGCACAACTATATACGAAGCATTGTTGTAAATAAACCTTGGTGGCTATGAGCTACACCATTCATTTACCATCAATTAGACTGTGTACTTGTTTGTTACCGTTACTCTGTAAAAGACTATGGTTTTCGAAAAATGGCGGTATACCGCCATCTCTTCCACGCTACATGTGCAATACCTAGACAGGCGATGGCAGAAAAGACAAAAGCAAGAGACTACTGGCTGGCACTGTAATCGTCAATTCGCTTGCCAAGCGAGACGTGGCAACACTTGGTACCACAAGAAAGACTCGTGTCAAGCATTGGACTTACGTGCTAAGGAAGAAAACAATAGAAACAGAAACAGAAACTTTTTAGTCAATTATACTTATTGAAAGTTAATCTTTTGTTTAATTTACCGAAGAACCACTAAGAAACTCCTTATCTAATTCGAGTTATTATTGTATGCGGCGATAGTCGTAATGATGTTTTTATAATATAGGATGACAAACGAGCACGCAGTCCACATGATGGTAAGTAGATGCTGTGGTCCATAGACATCTACATTTATCCTTAATTAAGAATCAAAATGCAGATGCGTTGTCACCGCTGAGGACAAAGATGGAATGGCTCGTTTTCAGTAAAAGGGTCTCCGGTTTTCTACACTCACCATACGAAACACTGCGGCATAAGCTGCTATTTCATGCTGTTATTATGTGAGAGCTTGGTCCTTCCTCGGTAGGGCCGACCCATTCGTGGTACAACCACGTCTACCACGACTACCACGTCTGCACGTGAGCCACGGAGCAAACTCCGTGGACGTGGGCGCTCTTTCGTAGATTTTAGCATTTTTGCGGAAAACAGTGTCGATTTATAGTGAATATAGTAATTATAGGACATTATATAGGATGGGATTGTAATTCATTTTGAAATTTTGACAAGTTTGTGAGGATTTTTGGTTTGCAATATTATTAGTTTTTATAGTAATCACAACAAAAATGCTTCGGGTAATTCTTCCTTCAACTTGTTATAAATTTCCACATAAAATACACAAATACATCGTGTATAGGATTCGCATAATTCACGCTCTAGTTACCTTCATGTCAAGATGCAATATGTTCTGCCTGTGTACGAACTCGATTCCTTCGCATATCTGCCGCATGAATACGGTGCAAGCGCGCTCCGTTAGCACGAAATCCTCGTCGATCACTCGTTCAAACAGCTCGCCACCAGTTATGCTGAAACAAAGAAAGTTGCTATGAAATTAAGTTTATTATAATAATAATAGCGTCCTCCCGACCGAATTTCGGTCACGGCGGCCAATCTTAACGGAGACCAGCCATCTTCATAGGACTGGATTACAGTGCAACGGGTGTGTATGCAAGCTTAAGTGTTTAAGATGGGGCGGCCATTCCACACTACCGGCCGGAGAATAGACGTAGGAACAACGACTTTAAGTACCTTTCGAGGCATGGAGATGAAACACCGCCAACTTTCTAAATCCGTCCAGCTACTGTGAATTTCTTGACATAAAATGCAATAACTGATTTTGGCGAGGCCTGGGACATGATCAACTGACGCGCTTACGACCACAAAGTCAACCAAGCAGCCAATCGTTTATAATGAAGGTTGTCCTGTTTACGCCAGTAGGTACAGTACATTTCACTGACCCTCTGTGAACGTATTGTACATAAGTGCTGTCATAGATATTACATAGCATAGAATACTATAATACATACTTAATAGAACGGGGGAGTGGGCGGAGCCCGTGTAGTGTAGCCACTAAAATGTCACTAACACGTCAATTCACACATATAAATGTCAACACGAGATGTGTTTTGACGTTACAATCGTTTCCAAATTTCGCATGCAAATTATTTAGAAAATGCCAAACGCTATTTACAATTTTTTTTAATTATTTTTATTTATAAATACGCATTAAAATCTCTCTGTCAACACAGCGAATCGGGTTGGTAGTAGTGATAATACTACGTAATTAGTTGTATGTGTGCTCCCGGCGACGCCTGTCCTCGTACAAAATAAGGTTAGCAGCCATTCTATTGCGTATTACAGTATTCTATGTTACATAGGGTATAATTTCACGCCTCGAACGCAAAGTATATAACCGCAAAAAAATCAAAGATTCTTATGAAGATTTCCACTAAGATTTTATTCAGTACTTAAAAATAAAAAAATATACTAATGACATTAGGACATTCCTTTAAACAATCCTATTAAAACATATACTCTTGGTGAGTTATTTATGAAAAAATTAAGTGCGTGTAACATTTATTTTATAGAATAACAAACACTCACACAGTCTACCTGATGGTAAGTGCATGTAGTGGCCCAATCATACACCTTTACCATACATCTATCCTCGGTTATGAATAAAAAATGCAAATGCGTTGTCACTTGGTTTAATACTCAAAGGTTGTCACCCCTATGGAATACGATGAAATGCATCGTTTCCTGTAAAAAGTCTACATGTTGGTTCTTACTCAACCATAGATGAAGATGGCCATGGTCACAGAATCCATTATTGAACTATATAAAAATAGTATAGAAATAAATTTAAGTATAATGGATATCAATTGCATAGTAAAAAATCTGTCTGAAAATTGTATAATATATTAGAATGTGTATTAACACGACAGCTACTATTTCATATCCATCCGTCTATCTGAACTGGTGACACGTGAACTAGGTGTGATTGTGAAACATATGCGCGTTTGGAGAATCCTCAAAGATGATGGCCAGCACCCGTATTATTGTCGTCGAATCGACCATTACAGCCTATAAAAGTCCACTGCTAAACTAGACGAGGCCAGGATACCCAGGCCATCCCCTACAGAGTGCCTCATTAGAGTGATTTTGTCATAGCCACATTTGGCGGGTTTTAATTGCATCATGAACACTTGATTATGTTTTCATTAAACTTCATTAAACAGTTTCTTGGCTCGTTTGGGACTTTAATATTACATAAAAATTAACAACAACATCTTATTTACAAGATGCTTAAAATACTATCATAGTAAGGTTGGCATTGCCTCTCATGACTACAAGCTACACGAATAGGTATTTCATTAACATACTAATTATAACCTGTGAAAACTGTCAATCAACCGCAAATGGTTTTCAGAAAACACGACCAATTTCTGCGATAATGGCTTGTTAGGTAAGACGTCAAACTGCCAACAAGCAAGCGCTGTTTTTAAAAATAATGAGCGTCTCGAACTCTCGGTAGAGAGTAATTGTGTTTTGTGGTCTCGATCAAGATCAAAATAAAACATAGAATTCGAATGTAACAGTAGTTTAACTAATATTATATTTCATATACAGTAAAAATTATATGTAAGGTACGTGAGCGTAATATGGTGACCTTAAGCTTTGCCGCCCTATGAAACCAAAAACAGGATAAGGACTGAGGCGAAAAGACATAGTCATATACTATAATTAATATATTAACGAAAAATTGCAAATAAGCCGTGGCAATAATTCGGAATATTTAGAAAAATCTCCTTAAAAATACTAACTACACTACACCATACTAAAATCGACTTAAATTTCGACTTTTATTATTTGATTGACTGATGAAGAGCTATCGTATCACAAAGCCATCTATGCAGACAAGCCTGTAGTTTTCAAGTTATAAGAAAGTGACCAGATACGCTCACGTACTGTAATATATAAAAAATCACTGCCTTACAACATCACTGTATAGGTTTATTGGATTCTCTTTCTATTCTTTTCTTATTGGAAATTTCTCTGAAACAAGTTCGTGCCATCTTAGTTATGACTGGTTGTAATTAAAAAAATCTGCCTATGTAATTATAAATATTGTAATAGTGACACTATAATATCTCTAATTTGACAATATCCCTGCGACATATATTTTGAATATACTCATATGTACTCTTTTTTACCTTCCATGTTATATGATACAATATATTTTATGCGATTGCAATTTTTTGTTAGTTAAGACTAACAAAGAAAGTTTTCAGAGTCTACTAGTGCTCGATGCAAACTTATACACCTATAACCAAGTTGTTGGTTGCAAGTACTTCTAGATGCATATGTCGCAAACATGCAGTGCAGTGCATGTTCTTACAATAAGTAAGAGATTTCGACTTGATTTTGGAGTCTTTCTTTATGGTCTGAATTAAAAAGGACAACTAATATTTTAAAAATATTTGCATATGAATCTTAATTTTAAAATAATGTGACCGGAGTTTTCTAGTGATGACACTTAAAAATGTCATCTTGCCATCTAAGCAGAAATTCGATAATAATTAAAATTTTATTCGCTTAAATGCTTTTCACAATTTAAAGCTGATAATTTTTTAAACATACGAAAGATGAAACATGGGCCAGTGAACAAAATATGAATGAGTTAAAATAAAGATTGTTTGGTTGAACAGCTTTTCCCGTAACAGAGAAAACAGATTACGAGATTCACGTGCCAAACGTAATCCCGACGTATACGTATAGTATCCCATGTCCGTATGTGTAAGCAGTGTTGGCGCGAAAATAGACCGATGAATAGAGCGAGGTTGCGTACAAGGTCGGTGTCGTGCTTCCTGGATATCGCCATCTCGCTTTCACTAATGAAAAATATAAAAGAGACTTTCTTTGTACGTTCATGACCCATTAGCCATTACTAATGATAGTTTTACATATACGTTTGACAATTATGTAACATATATATATATATATATATATATATATATATATACATGTATGTATATATATATATATCCAAAACATGTGTGTGTGTGGGGGGGGGGGGGATTAGATGGATTTCTTTAAGTTCAAAGTTGGTTTGATTTTTAAAATCATTTAACTTTTTTATTAGAGTGGACTAAATACAAAAGCCATAGTGATGTTTTTTTTTTTAAATAGAATAAAGGTAGGGTTAGGGATTGGCTGCTACAGTCTATAGACATCTGCATTTATCCTCGATTAAGAATCAAAATGCAGATGCGTTGCCACCCCTGAGGACTAAGACGGATGCCTTGTATCCAGTTAAAAGGGTCTACGGTTCTCCGTACTCACAATACGAAACTAAGCAGCATTGAGATGCTATTTTACGCTGGTATTCTATGAGAGTGTGGTCCTTCCCCGGTTAAGCCGACCCACTCGTGTCACAACCATAATATAGCTGCAGCATGACTCTACCACGTAAAAAATATTATATAAATTAAATTTATGTGTAAAAATATACTTATAAATTAAATTTATATGTAAGCTCATACTGCATACTTTTTAATTAAAATTAACGAACACTGTAGCATTTAAACTACAAAATACGAGTATTAAAGATAATTTGTACAGCGGAACCATAACTCACATGTGTTTCGACGCATTTAGCATTTTTTTAAATAATCAAATTATATATACGGAGTGAGCGCGAAGGTATGGGTAGGTGGATAATTTGCACAGTACGTTTCAGTCAACATAGCATTTATTTTTCTGAACAATCATAAATTATACAAAACAATAGGTTTTATTGTTTCAGATGTGTTTCAGTTTATTCAAGTGCTTTGCGCAATTACTTTTTGCAATGGGTACGAGTATAACCAATGAGAAACAGGAAATTAGTGTATTATATTAAGTAGTTCTTTTTGCTTCGTATTTTATTACCGTTTTCTATAAATTTTTTGACCACGCTCTCATAGAACACCAGCTTAAAATAGCAGCGTAATGCTGCTGTGTTTCATATGGTGAGTGTAGAGAACCGGAGACCCTTTTTACTGGAATCGAGGCATTCCGTCTTAGTCTTCAGACAACCCATATGCATTTTGACTCTTAATTGAGGATAAATGTGAATTTCTATGGACCACAGCATCCAATTACCATCGGGTGGACTGTGTGCTCGTTTGTCACCTAATGCTATAAAAAAATGATGTGGATAAGATTTATAATAGAGCTATCAGTTGAAAAATTGAATTCCTTGATAACCTTTCTAGTTGCGAGTTCAACCTTAATTTTACTATTTTTTTAAACGTGTGATCCAAAGGTAGATAAAAAGATTTTCCGCGCCAAGCAGCCGACAACGACTGAATGCGTGCAATTTAAAAAGGTCGTAAGAGCTCTATGATTTCGGTGGTGTAGAAATGTCTTATTTTCTGCTTAGGAGTCCGTCTAGGTGGCCTATCCTCTATTCTGGTGTTAAATAGCAGTGCTTGCGTTGCTGTGTTCCAGTCTAAAGGGTATATAGACATAGGAGATACCAGTA